CAGCCTTCTCTTCTTCAGGCTGAACAAGCCCAGCTCCCTCAGCCTCTCCTCGTTTAGATTAGGCATCAGGAAAAAGTTCTTCACAGAAAGAGTGGTCAGGCATTGGAACGTGCTGCCCAAGGAGGTGGTGGAGTCCCCATCCCTGGGGGTGTTTAAAAAACGTGGAGATGTGGCACTTCTGGACATGGTTTAGTAGGAATGGTGGTGCTGGGCGGATGGTTGGACTCAATGATCTTCGAGGTCTTTTCCAACCTATGATTCTATGACTCTGACTCCTTATTTCTGGAAATTCAGCTGCTTTGAATGGACTTGGCTTCTTGCGCATGAACACAGCCCAAGCTTTGCTGCTGCTGCCAACACCGTGCTGCGTGCGTGTCTCCGGGCGGCGAGCACTACCAAGCAGCCAGCATTTCCCAGCGCAGGCCGTCTATCCGCGACGCACTCAGCTGTGCCATCCCGGCAGTGCAAAGAACGGCCGCGGGCCAGCGCGCAGGGCTCGACACCAAAAACACCGCTTCTACCAAAAAAAACCAAAATTGCTTTTCCCTGCAGCGGGTGGAAGGGTCTGCAGCGACGTGGTGGAGGAGGCCAAGAGCCCTGCTCCTTCACCCCGCCATGAAATGTCGCTTGTGAGTTACGTCCCAGGGGCCCAAGAGGCGATGTGGCCCATCCCTGAAGGGTGGAAGATGTCCTGGGACACGAACAGCACCCATCTGCGCCGTCCTCGGCCGCAGCGCTGGGCAGCATCCAGGGGAGAAAAACACATTCTGCCTAACGCAACGCTGCTTCTCCGGGGAGGCTGAGAAAACAAGAGCACGTCTCGAAGGAGCTGAGAGCCTCCCAGCGCCCCAGTAAACCCTCACGCAGAACTGCTGCTCCTAATGCTTCACCAGCGTTTTTTCCTGTGTTTAGCATAAAAGCCTCTGCCGCGAGCGGGGCACGTCCCGCGATGCCTGCGTGCTAACCAGAGTGCAAAGGCGTCTCTAACAGGCGAGCCAGACGTGTCGCCCGATCCTTTCGCCTCGCTACAGCCAAGAGAAAAAATAATCTCGCAGAGATCAGGCGTAGAAGGGTGGGAAGCTCAGGTTTAATCTGCAAACATCTCTAGGTTACTATGTTCCTACAGTATAATGTACTACAACAACAAACTGTTACCCCTTAGACAGCAACGGTTGTTCTACAAGGTCTATCTTTTCAGAAAAAACACAGGGGGGAAAGGTACAAAAATAAAAGATTGATGAAAAGAATTACTATCCAAAGCAGGCATTAATTTCTGTAACGGCGATAGCTATTACTTTGCCGAGGATGAATAATACGGCTAGTGCTTGCAAAATAACTTGAGATGTTTTTTATCCCTCAATAAAGTGTTGAAAGGTTGCAGAGAGCCGAAATGACTGAAAATGCTTTGGGTAGTTCCAGGCAAATGCTGTTTATCCTAATATATGGGAAAAGCCAACTGTTTGTTTGTTTGTTTTTCCTGGTTTCTTCTTTCAGGTCACATCCAGACTTACCGAACTGAAGCACATCATGGCTTCCTGCCTTTTCAGGAGGCATCATACTGCAGATAGAAAGCGTTGCGTGCCTAAAAATAAAGATTCTGTTTGCCGGAAGCCTTAATGATACGGAGCAGCACGCAACCACACAGGCTCTACGGAGAGGGATGGGTCTAATCCCATCTGATGGGGTTCACAGATTCCCCCACTAAAAAACACATCATTAAATACCAAGCCCTCCTGTTTTGGTGAGTCAGCGAAAGAAAAGGAAGAGATCAAGCTAGACAAAATTTATTACTTGCATTTCTTATTCCTGTTTCTCACACTGTTAAAGTGGATTTTTTTTTTTTTTTTTTGGTTTTACAGGTACCTAGACAAGCACTGAAATACTGACACGCGAACCACAAATCTGACTCCAGCACACACGGGTCACCGAGTCGCAGGGAATGCCTCGTACCCACCCCTCCTCCAGCCCAACTTTCAACACGAAGCGCTCTCCGTGCTTGAAAAGCTGTGCAATGCCGAGACAACAGGACGGATTAAGGACAGCGCGTTTACTAGTTCTGCAACCTCTTTGAAAGACTCTGCATCAGATTTTCTGCTAGGTCAGTGCTTCACGCAGATAATCCCACCACCAGCGCACACTTCCAAAGCAGCTCGGTGCCTACAGCTCTCAGTGGCCTCTAATGGCTGCCCAAGCCCTCTCGGATGCGCCGGTGTTCACACCGAAACAGAGAATCACAGAATCACAGAATAGTAGGGGTTGGAAGGGACCTCTGTGGGTCATCTAGTCCAACCCTCCTGCCAAAGCAGGGTCACCTACAGCAGGCTGCACAGGACCTTGTCCAGGCGGGTCTTGAATATCTCCAGAGAAGGAGACTCCACAACCTCC